ATCATTTTAAATAATGGATTAATGTTACAACATCAAAATTAGCCTACTCATTGCTTTCTAAGTGAGTCTTAGAAGAAAGAACCGTTTCTTCTCTCTTTCCCAAATTATTTAGAATGATTGATCTCACCTTCTAGTCTCTACCAAGAATTGCATGAAACTCCCAGTTTCCCAGCAGCTGGGAAAAATAATTTCCATACACACATGTTCCATTAACCCAATGACATCTAGTTGGAGGTGAGGTGACAGAAATGGCATAGGCAGCTATAATAAGCAAAGATGAACTAAAGTGAATGGACCACAGAAATGGAATCTCCCTCCTTTCTTGGGTAACATTTCCAGAGCAGGGTCAAAATGCACGGACAGAATGGTTCAAAGTCTGCAATTTATTGCATGGATTCCTAAATGTTGCACTACCTTGGGTTTTTACAATATTTGTTTTAAAATCCCATTGATGAGTGAAAATGATTTGGGTTTTTGTTATTGTCTGGGTGCTTAGTCTGCTCCCCTCCCCACAACAATCTGAAAACATAAACATCATAGGGTACTTCTGAATCCAGAGCAGATTCTAACATAAATTATAAATTCTCAGATCAAAAGTTGTACAGGGACGATCAACCAGAACTGTGTAACCTTAACTCAGAAGACTGTAGGACAATGACTCAGGTACCATTTGCCTCAGTTTGAGTGCAACTCCATGGATGTCACCTTCAAGAAGTTGCATGAAACTGGCAGAACATCATATGCCTTTCCTCAGCACAAATGACCACATCCTGTGCCAGGCAGCATTTTTAAGCCTCTGTGGTTAAGTACTGGCAAAAATTAATGTATAGCTCGGCAGAGCTGGAATGTTAGTTGAAGCTGTGATTTGAATCTCTGAAATTTTAGACACAGAACTCTATTTCTTGACCTTTTGAAATGCCCCTTAAGAAATTTACGGCAAGAGAAAAAGATCCTGATAAACTGTTTCCACTCTTCCTTTAAGAGACACATACAGCACTGTTCACAATAGTCAAAAGATGGAAACAACTCAAATGTTCAACTACAAATGACTGGATAAACAAATGGTGGTAAATTCATATAATGGAATATCATTGGGCCACAAAAAATGAAGTACTAATACATGCTACAACTTGGATGAACCTTGAAAATATTATACCAAATGAAAGAAGCCAGATAAAAAATATCCATTTGTATGATCTATCCAGAATAAGTGAATCCACTGAGATAGAGAGTTGACTGCTGGTTGCCAGTGGCAGTGGGGATGGGAGAATGGAGAACAAATGCTTAATGAGTGTGAGGTTTCCTTCTGGAGTGACGAAAAATGTTTGGAACTAGACAAAGGTGGTAGCTGCAAAACACTGTGAATGCACTAAATGCCACTGAACTGATCACTTTAAAATGGTTAATTTTATATTATGTGAATTTCACCTTAAGAAGAACAAAAAAAGAAACTCATATACACATACATATAATTAACCTAGGGCTTTCATTTAATTATTCACTCAACACACATTTATTAGATACTGACAAGGGGCCACACATTATTCTAGGTGCTGCAAACACTTAGCAGTGAAAAAGACAGACCAAGATCCTGACTCATGAAGGGTGGAGGGAGAGATAACACAAACTCGGTCTAAAATTATTCATAATAAATGCCATGCAGAGAATTAAAAAAAAGTATGGTGTTAAAACACAGTGACTGGGTGGTCAGGGAAAGCCTCCCTGAAGAAGTAACCTTTAAGATGAAATGTAAGTGACATTCATAAGACAGGAGTGTTGAATTTCTCAATATAAAGATTTAAATAACTCACTGCCATAGAGTCGATTCGACTCATAGAGGCCCCTACTTGGGTTTCCAAGGTGGTATCTCTATGGAAGTAGATTGCCCAATCTTCCTTCCGAGGAGTGGTTGGTGGGTTTGAACTGCCAGCCTTCTGGTTAGCAGTCAAATGCCTTAGGCACTACTCCACCAGAGCTCAAAATTATGTATGACTTCATAAAAAAGCCTAGAAGTAAATATTCCATAATGTAAATAGAAACTATCTTTGGATGGTAAGATAGAGATGTGTTTTTCTTTTTTTTACTACTTAAGTGGACTTTCCAAACTTCTTATAATGAACATGTATTGTTTTACTTTTATAATGGGAAAAAAGTAAAACAAGCATTATTTAAAAAAATTAAGTTAATAGAAGCTTGAACACTGAATAGGTACCTTAAAAATTTCCCAATGTCTTGTAACTAACTATTAAATACAATCATTTGTAAAATGAATCAAACTGAATCACTCTCAACTAAATTCACAATGCCATTTACTTGAAGTGTTCCTGGTTTCTTCTTTAACTAAGTTTTAACCTTATCTATAACTACTGGTGTTTTGTCTGTGCACTATAGCTTACCTCCTGTATCTTCATCTTCATTGGATGGGCCTTCTGCACTGTCCACATTTTCTATTTCATGAGGTTTGGTTAAATTGTAGTCATTCAAAATCACTGGGCCTTCTAAAAGACAGAAAGAGTTTGAACCTTGCAGTCAACTTTCAAGGATTTTTATAAACAGATTATTGATTAGACCCCCATTCAATTTTCAGCTTCACATAATCCCATAGTGATAGGCATAACACTTCACATGCATTCCAAGTAGAATATTATATGAAAACTCTTGAGAAGTTTAGAAATATGCCCAGGTTCATGCACCTTTCTAGTAGACATGATTTCCTTGAATATTTCTTTTACCTGAATGAAAATGTTTGAGGATAGAAACGTACTCCTTTGGTACTTTCCTCACAATGTTCAGTAGTATGCTACTGTTATTTATGACAAAGAAGTACTAATGTGTAGTGATGAAAAGTACTGTGCTTGAAAACATTGGCATAACCCAATTTGGGAAAGATGGTTTCCTAAAAGGAAGCCTGAATACCAAATATCAAATCCTACTTTCCCCTTGCATTCATACTGTAAATGTGTTTCTGCAGAAAAGATACTGGTCTCTAAGTTCCTTTATTTCTCTAAACATTTACTAAATGGTGACAAACCTTCAGATAAGAATAAGTCATAATCTTGTCCTCAAGTAGCTTATAACTTGTAGATGTAGGTAAAACAAGTACACAACAATTAATTAAGGTAGACTTGGGAAAGGATTAAGGGAAATACAAAGTGCTATTGGAGTTCATGAGAAAAAAGCAGATATGATAGAAGCACGTTTAAGGAAACAGCTTGTTATTGTTGTTGTTGTTATGTGCCGTCGAGTCAGCCCTGACTCATAGCGACCCCTCCTTGGGTTTCCGAGGCAGTATCACTACGGAAGTAGGATTGCCCAACCTTCCTTCCGAGGAGTGGCTGGTGGGTTTGAACAGGCAGCCCTCTGGTTAGCAGTCAAGTGCCTTAGCCACTATGCTACCAGAGCTCCAAACTTGTTAAAAATCCTTCCCTTTGAATTTGGGCTGGCTTTGCGATTTGCTTTAACCAACAGTAGAAATGCTGTGCCAATTCTCAGTCTTGGTTTTAAGAGGCTGGCATGTTTCCAAATTCTTTCTTGGAAATTTGTTGCGACCATGTGAATATGCCTAGACTGGCCTGCTGGATGATAACAGCACATGGTCAGGACACCACTGTTGTCCCTGCTGACCTGCCACCTGACAACAGATACACGAGGAAGCCAAACCAACCCTGGCCAGATTGGCAGGGGCATACAGCTGACGCATAAACTTGTGAGATATGATAAAGAGCTGTTGTTCAAGACACACACACATACACAAATACAAAGAATAATATGTAACAGAGACCATATGTGAGCTGGAAAGTCTAAAATATTTACTATTTGGCCATTTACAGAAAAAGTTTGCTGACCACAGTTCTACAGTGAAAAATATAAGTCTTTTAAATCCAAGCTAATATGTTATTCAACAAAACTGTCTTTATCCAAGTCAATGTTGAAAACATTTTTTAAATAACAATGATTGTCATTAGGTGGGGTTTGGTTTGGCTCTGTAATGCCAAAGAATTTTATGTGATCTAAATGGATGAGTTACTTTTGAATCAGGCAGGAACAACCACATTTTTTTTTTCCCTTCAACACATTTCCATGGCATTTTCTCTGTAATCAGAATAAGAACATTCCTCTTACTCTCCTATTATTTAGTCAAGGTATATTTCAGGAGAACCAAGACGTGGCATTACCTGTAGACACAGACTGCTCTTGAGTACTTTTCAGTTCCACATTTGGTGGTGTATCTAAAAAAGAAAGGAGTTCTAAATATTAGCTATTTGATGTAAATTACCTCCAATTTAAGCATCCCAAATTTAATAAGGATACAATTTTAGAAACCTTAGCAGAATTCCTCTTCAGAGCAAAACTACTCTTCCTCTGTCTATACCTTCCCTACAAGTACCTCAAGGAGAATGAAAGGAATTATCTATGTAGCAATGTTAGAGCTTTCTGCCTACAGAAACAACACAGATATCTATTTATATCAAGAGCCACGAGAAAAAAAGTGGGTCCTGTTAAAGAGAATTTCAGGTCTTCTTTATTTTTTTTCAAACCCCAATATTTGATCATGAACATTTTTAAACATATAGAAAAAAATTTAAAAGAATTGTAAAGTGAATATCCATGTACCCACCAACTAGATTCTACAGTATTTTGCTATTTTTGCTTTATCACATGTCTATTCACTTATTCAGGAGCCCTGGTGATGTAGTGTCTAAGGCATCTGACTGCTAACCAGAAGGCTGGCGGTTTAAACCCACCAGCCACTCCTCAGAAGGAAGGTTGGGCAATCTACTTCCGTAGTGATACTGCCTTGGAAACCCAAGGAGGGGTCGCTATGAGTCGGGTCCAACTCAACAGCAGTGAGTTTGGTTTTTCGGTTATTCACCTATTCATCACTCCATCCATCCATTAATCCATCTTACTTTTTCAATGCATTTCAAAATCAGTTGCTGATATCAGTATACGTCCCCTCTTTTTTTTTGGCTTTAACAAACAGGAGTTTATTCTCTTACAATTTGGAGGCTTTAAGTCCAAGTTCAAAGTGCCAGGCTCTAGGGGCTGGGTGAAAGCCCCTCAACCTTGGGGTCCAGCTCTGCCTCCTGCTCCCAGCCAACTGGAGCTAGAGGCATTTCTTCACTCAGACAGCTGCTGAGGCTGAGAAGCCCCAAGGTTGACTAGTCAAAAGGCACAGTTCTGATGTTACCAAACCACACAGCAGGCCACTGACTTAAGTCCATTGTAAGTCCCAAGGTCGGCAGAGCATAGCAGGCTGCTGGGCAACGACACGGCTACATACAGGGTCCAAGCCTTAGGCTAGAGACTATTCCCCCAAGGCTTCTCCTTATACACAGGTAGCAGAGCACATCCTAAAGGCAGCTACTCAGCTGCCTGTGGTAGATCCCACCATGGAGTTGATTGCCAATCTCATCATGGGGAATAACTACCATCAGCTGCCCAGCCACTCAACCAGGCCTAGTCAAATTGACATACAAACATAACCATCACAATTCCACCCCTTGTCAACTTGGCACCTGTACAGATTTTCAATGGGTGGTATCTGTAGAGGTCTCCTTCACTGGGTGGCTCCAGTCCCCTAGTTCCCCTAAGTGGCGACCTCACCCCCTTGGCCTGGCAGGCCCTGTTCCTCTCCCTCTTGGGCATGGCAGCCCTGCCCCCTCACTCTTGGGCAGCGGCTATGGCTCCATTCCACTGGCTCACATGAACGAGCAGCCCCACACTCCAGAACCAAGTTGGTGAAGGCCTGGCTCTTTGAAACCTAGGGGCCTGTGGTTGTTCCACCCCCAAAGGCCAAGGTCCTACCATTAAGGCTGAGGCAGCTCTGCTTCCGTTTCCTTGGTCTCTCTGCTTCTGCCGATTAATGCCCAAGGGCAACCCACTCCGTCAGAAATCTTTCTGCCCCAAACACACTTGGCTTTCTTGCTCCGTGGGCCGGCCAACCTGCTACTCCATTTTATGACGATCTTTTCTACCAATTAACGCCCGAAGGCAACCCACTCCGCCAGGAAGCTGTCTACCCAATGGCACCCAGCTTTCTCCTCCGTGGGCTCATAAGGCTATCTGTCTCATGCCAGTTCTCTCGGCTCTGCTCCTGCCATCTCTCATGCCGGTCTCTTGCCGTCTGTCCTGCCGTCTGTCCTGCCATATGCCGGGGTCTTTCTGCCAGGATCTCGGGTCAAGGATGCACTCCACCCGTTTCCACATTTTAGGTATCTGTAAGAGCAGCACCCCACTCTCTCAATACCAAATTATGTTCTGGTTACCTAGTGCTGCTCTGACAAGAATATACCGCAAATGGGATGGCTTAAACAAACAGGAGTTTATTCTTACAATTTGGAGGCTTTAAGTCCAAGTTCAAGTGCCAGGCTCTAGGGGCTGGGTGAAAACTCCTCGATCTTGGGGTCCAGCTCTGCCTCCGTATGCCAGGGCCCAAGCGTGCCATAGGCTAGAGACCATTCCCAAGGCTTCTCCTTATAAACAGGAAGCAGACCACATCCTAAAGGCAGCTACTCAGCTGCCTGTGGTAGATCCCACCATGGAGTTGATTGCCAGTCTCATCATGGGGAATACTACCACCAGCTGGCCAGCCACTCAACCAGGCCCAGCCAAGTTGACACACAACATAACCACCACAGTTCCTTAGGCTCCTCTTGGCTGGGACAGTTGCTCAGACTTCCCTTGTTTTGAGGACCCTATAGCTTTTCAGAATACTGGTCAGACACTTTATAGAAGATCCTTCAGCTGAGATTCGTCTGAGGCTTGTCTCATTAGAATGGGGTTACACTGGATTGAAATCAGTCTTGTACAACCCTTTCTGCAACCATATGCTTTCATATCTCTTAGGTAAATACCTAGTCTAGGTGTGGAACAGCCAGGTTGTAGAATAGATACATTTTTAATTTTAACAGAAAATGCCAGTTCTACTTCAAAAATGGTTGTGCTATCAACAATATGTGAGAATTCTTCTAGTTGCTCCACATCCTTGCCAACATTTGGTGGTGTCAGATTTTTTAATTAGAGTCATTCTGGTTAATGTGTTGGTATCTCATTCTGGTTTTGATTTGCATTTCTATGAAAAACCAAGGTCCCTAGGTGGCACAAATGGCTTGTGCTCAATTGCCATCTTAAAGGTTGGTAGTTAGAATCCACCCAGTGCTATGACGGAAGACAGGCCTGGAGCTCTACTTCCGTTAAGATTACAACCAAGAAAACTCTATGGAGCAGTTCCACTCTGTAACACATGAGTCACCATGAGTTGGCATCCTCATGACAGCAACTAACAACAACAGTGAAGAACTAATAATACTGACCATCTTCTCAGGTGCTTAGTAAGATACTTTTCTTTGTGAAGTGTCCAGGTCTTCTGCTCACTTTTAAAACTGGTTTGTCTCATTATTTTGTAGGAGTTCTTCATATATTATTACTACTACCAATCCCTTGTCAGTGTTTGTTTTGGTAATATTCTCTCCCAGTCCTGTGGTTTGCTTATTTATTTCCTTAACACTGTTTTTTGAAAACAGAAGTTTTAAATTTTGATGCCATCTAATATATCAATTTTTAAGTGGTTACTGCTTTCTGTAGGAGCTCTGGCGGCATAGTGCCTAAGGCATTTGACTGCTAGCCAGAAGACTGGTGGTTCAAACCCTCCCACCAGCCACTCTGAGGAAGGAAGACTGGGCAATCTACTTCCGTAAAGATTTACTGCCCCAGAAACCCAATGGGGGTCGCTATGAGTCAGAATTGACTCGATGGCAGTGAGTTTGGTTTTGAAGTTATACTGTAATCAGGTCAACTTCCACTTTTGGTTTGAAAATTATAGTTTCTGTATTATATTCTATCCGAATTTAAAAATTTTAACATGTCAGTCATCAGATGTTAGTGTAAAGCACAAAGACAGGAAAAATAAACATAGTTTAAAAATAAGCAAAAGGGCAGTCCAACATGGCATGTTAAAGCCCAGGAAAAGTGAAATAAATGTCTGTGCAAGGAATGGGGGCAGCCCAGAGTGCGATGTTAGAGACCAGGAAGCATGAAGAGTATGGCTAGGTGAGATGGCGAGTCTGAATGAGCATGGAAGTCAGAGCCCAGTCAGGGTAAGAAGGGCATTCAGGCAGGGGGATGGGCTGCTGGAGTCTGAGAGAGATGAAGAGTACATCCATTCTAAGGAGCAACCCAGCACGGGGAGAAAGAGCCACAGCATAGTGAGGACATCTATGCACAGGGGGCAGCCTGGTGTGGTGTTTCAGAGCCTAAGCAGGGTGAGAAGGACACTCACATGGGAGAAGTAGAGTTGGTGACAGGGACAATGAAGGTCCCTATGGAGTGCTCCTATGCATGTGGGTGTTTCAGCACAAAGTGTCAGAACGTGGGTGGGGTGGAGAGGACATCCATATATAGGGGCAGTCCTGCGTGGGGGTGTTAAAGTCCAAGCAATTAAGAAGGGTGTCCATATTTAAGGGTGGCCTGGTAGAGAATGTCAGAACCCACATGAGGTGAGGAAAGCATCTGCACAAAGGGGTAGATGACAATGGTAACAGACAACTGGCTATATAAATGAGGATTGATGAAATAAGTAAACATATTAAGGATAACCAAGTCTTTCTCTGTCAGAGAATGGAATTACAAGTAGGGAAACAAACGCTGTGGTATTGTATTGGAATTAGAGGTACTGACGTGAACTTATGGCTTTTACCATATATGTTGTTGTTGTTGTTAGGTGCCGTCGAGTCGTTTCCGACTCAGAGCAACCCCATGCACAGCAGAACGAAACACTGCCTGATCCCGCGCCAGCTCCACGATCCCTGCTATACTTGAGCCCATCATCGCAGCCACTGTGTCAATCCATCTTGTTGAAGGCCTCCCCCTCTTTCGTCGACCGACCCTCCACCCTACCAAGCATGACATCCTTCTCCAAGGAATGGTCCTTTCTGACAACATGACCAAAATAGGTGAGACAAAGTCTGGCCATTCTCGCTTCCAAGGAGCATTTTGGGTGCACTTCCTCCAGGACAGATCTGTTAGTTCTTTTAGCAGTCCACGGTACTTTCAGCATTCTTCGCCAGCACCACAACTCAAAAGCATCAACTCTTCTTCGGTCTTCCTTATTCATTGTCCAGCTCTCACATGCATACCATGCAATTGGAAATATCATGGCTTGTGTCAGGCATACCTTAATCCTCAAGGAGACATCCTTGCTCCTCAGTACTTAAAACAGTTCCTTTGC